TGCGTCATGTTGTCGACGATGTTTGCGTCTCAGGCCTATACGCAACCAGCGCTTTTTCTACAACGGGTACAAGAGGAAGCACGCTATCAAGTTCCAAGGAGTCGTGACGCCAGACGGGCTGTTTGTTGACCTGTACGGCGCAGAGGTTGGAACGAGGCACGACGGCTACTTGCTTGCGCAGTCTGCACTACTTGAGAAGCTACAGACCCACATGAACAGCCCTTCGGGCCACCCGTATTGCTTGTACGGTGATCCAGCGTAAGGTCAGGCCGATCACATACAGTGCCCTTTTATTGCATCTATCAATGGCCCCCTTACGCCCGCGATGAGAAACTTCAACAAGAGCATGAGCCAATGCCGAGTGACGGTCGAATGGGGGTTCAAGGACATGACTAGCAAGTGGGCCTTCGTTGACATGAAGTGCCAGCAGAAGTTCCTGCTGAGCCCTGTAGCGACGCAGTACAAGGTAGCAACACTGTTGTCAAACTTCCACTCCTGCCTGAACGGCGGCAACCAGATTTCACAGTACTTTGGAGTAGAGCCTCCCACGCTGGAAGAGTACCTCAAGGTGTAAGCCTCAGCGGTTTGTCAGGGAAATATGTTGGTCCAATCGCACTTATGGTAGACAGGAAACTTGTTTGTGCCGAAAGGTTACGGCTTGCAAAGGGGGAAGTTGCAGATGGGGATGTAGTATTTCTTCCAATCAGGAGAGGACTTGTGCTACCTGGTCATTAGGTTAAGAAGGAGTTTTCCGCACGAGGGCTAGGCAGTGTGAGAATTGTCACCACACCAAAGATCCCCAAAGGTGGTTTAGTTCCTATTCCACCGAGTGCTTCTGTGTTTGTTGGACAGCTGAGATGACGTCTGGCCTTTGCATCTGTTTCGTGCGGGGCTGGTTGCACGATGCACGATATAATTCGGGAGTACTGCAAGTGGTATTATTTCCTTTCTTTGGCTGCCCCTTAGCCGTTCCACCTCCTTCCCCTCCCTCTGTGGAACTTCGACTCAACACGCCAGCTCCAGTCGGCGTCGTTTTTATTTTTCAAGCACGCGCTCTCTCTCCGTGCAACCAACCAAAAAACAAACGAGGCACATGCGTGCACGGTGCAACACTAGACTTCTCTTCCTCAACATGTACTCACCCCCCCCCGCCCCCCCCGGCAACGCCGTTTTTTTTTTGTCAAGCACGCGCTCTCTCTCCGTTCAACCAACCAAAAAAAATGAGGCATATGCGTGCACGGTGCAACACTAGACTTCTCTTCCTCAACATGTACTCACCCCCCCCCGCCCCCCCCGGCAACGCCGTTTTTTTTTTGTCAAGCACGCGCTCTCTCTCCGTTCAACCAACCAAAAAAAATGAGGCATATGCGTGCACGGTGCAACACTAGACTTTTCTTCCTCAACATGTACTCACCCCCCCCCGGCAACGCCGTGTTTTTTTCGTCAAGCACGCGCTCCCTCTCCGTTCAACCAACCAAAAAACAAATACGAGGCATGCGTTCACGGAACACTAGACTTCTTTTCCTCAACATGTACTCACCCCCCCCCCC